TGTGTGTGTGTGTGTGTGTGTGTGTGTGTGTGTGTGTGTGTGTGTGTGTGTGTGTGTGTGTATGTGTGTGTGTGTGTGTGTGTGTGTGTGTGTGTGTGTGTGTGTGTGTGTGTGTGTGTGTGTGTGTGTATGTGTGTGTGTGTGTGTGTGTGTGTGTGTGTGTGTGTGTGTGTTGTAGTGTGTGAGTGGCAGGTGCTTTCCCCATGCTGGGAGGAAGAGGAACACCACGTGCTGCCCCCCTCCCCATGCCTCCTCTTCCTCCTCTTCCTCCTCTTTCCATGACACTTATATTTACATTATTCATATTTTTGAGGCTGTGTGATCTGTCTGTCTTTCATGAAGCCTCCATTTGACGTCACGGTGCACGGTAGACATTTTGGAAATAATTCAGGTTGTTATGGTACACTAAAAACAACTGGTTGATTAAAATGAAATGTATTATGTCCAAATAATTCACACCTATTCGGTTACTTGAAAGCTATAGTATTTATTTGAAACTAATATTTTTGCTTTTAACTAACCAGTCATTTGAAATATGTTGAAATAATACATGTCATTATAGATTCATTATTTGTTTCAGTGAATGCAGCTTTTAGTCAACCTCATCTGCTCTAGATACACAAACAAACAAACACAGACACACACACACACACACACACACACACACACACACACACACACACACACACACACACACACGCACACACACACACACACACACACACCCACACACTATCCCCAACATGCCAGAGAAGGGTGAAGGCTAGGTCGTGGAGGAAGGTTAGAGGTCATGGACAACTTTCTCCCCCAAATAGTTTGAACATTTGAAACAATTTTGCAACACTTCTATATCCTAATGTCACACATTGCTATAGATGTTCATATTCCCCACGTGGCACAATGACACAGTGAGCATGAATGAGACCTGTTTTCAATGCTTCTGCTCTCGCTGCAGCTGTGTGTGCAGATGTGTGCTCTGCAGTGGTTCCAGCGGTTTGGTTTCCTCTGCTGATTGCTGCTGTCTGCTTCTTTTATTATTAGCGTGAATAAAAGGCTCCCTTTGTCCAAACCTTCACAAGCTATTCTGTATGTAATGTTCCCTTTTCACCTCTAATTAAACAATGATATGTTGTGTAAACTGTCCTTTGGCCCTTCATTATTTGTATTCGTCAGATTTTTCTATTTTGAGATGTTTATATTTTACGTTTGTTTATTTTCTACTCTTTTTTGTTTTTAAAATGTGGTTTTGTTTTAGCATGCTGCTGTAACGAAAACATATCCCAATTTGGGATCAATAAAGTATATATTGTGTTATTTGATTATACTCTTTCAAATGTAGGTTGTTGGCCCTCTTTGTCAAATGAATGTACTTCTTTGGATTTATCATCAAACTATTTTGGATTAATACTTGCCATAGGGGGGGGGGGGGGGGGGGGGGGGAAGCGACGACGACTTTGCATGACAATAACAGGGAATGGATCTAGATGTATTTTTCAAACTGCACAAAGGAGCAGGAGCACATTCTCTTCTTCTTCTTCGTTGCCCTGATAGCTTTTTCACCTCGGTCATATTTCAGAGCTCTGACAGAGGGTCGCGCGAATAATGACGCCTTTAACGCTTTATATGTTCATTTTTATTCTCTCTTTGTGGCTGCACGACAGTGAAATAACCATTGCGCAGTGTGTTAGGAGGTTGAAAACAGATGGACCCAAAAAGCTCATTTGATGTAATGTTGCACAGCTGACACATGTTTATTCCTCGAGATATTTACGCATTGCCTGCCAGATCTTTTTGAGGATTTCATCTCCCTATATGTATCCCTTTATTATACTAATATCCAGGCTGTGTGAAAAGGATGACATTTTACCTTAACACACGTTAAATGTAATCCATGATGGTAGAAGTGCTAGAGAGAGATTATTTGTGTGTGTGTGTGTGTGTGTGTGTGTGTGTGTGTGTGTGTGTGTGTGTGTGTGTGTGTGTGTGTGTGTGTGTGTGTGTGTGTGTGTGTGTGTGTGTGTGTGTGTGTGTGTGTGTGTGTGTGTGTGTGTGTGTGTGTGTGTGTGTGTGTGTGTGTGTGTGTGTATGGTTTGATACATATTTAAATGAACCAAATAGCAAAATAAAGCATGAATGGGGTTCTTGTTTTAATTTATTTTTTAAATGCATTTTTATTAATTATCTTTCAACAATCCAAGCAGATGCATTTAGTCGACCATCAAATATTCCTGTATTATTTTGTTGATGTCATCATACACATGATTTTTTGTATACATAAAGGAATTTGCTTTGGTGTAAAATGGTGCACACATGAACCTAAAGAGGACCTACATTTAAAAAAGGAGAACATATTGAGCTATATAAAAGCTATTTTATTCTTCCAAAAAAAAGTCAAATAGGAATTAGACAATTTACGTGCAGCATATCAGAATTTAAAGTAGCAAAGATTTGCAGATATAAAACGAAGCCTATCTCAAGTCTAAATGTCTCTCTGTGGATCTCTGGTTGGCACATTGACCTTTACCTGTGGCCGGACGGAAACAATGCCCCCCCCCCCCCCCCCCCCCCCCCCCCCCTCCGTTCACCTGAATGGGGCCTGTTGACAAACTTCACAGAGGGAGGGGAAGTTCCGCAGTCAGACACACCTTGATCGATATACCTGAGGTGGCCCGCGGCTCAACGGGAGGTCAAGGTGAGCATAAGACACCCACACCTGAGCAGCGTGTATCAATACGATGGATTGTATTGGAACAACACATTATAATAAAATAGAAACAGGAGGGATGCCATGCAGGGGTAGATTCGAGGCCGGCTGCCGGAGCCTCTCCCCCGGCCGGAGGAGTCTCGCGGCTACGGGCTCTTACTGTCCGGTTTGGTGATGTATGAGCACTTTTTGGAGGAAACAGAGAACAGCAATATTGCCTGCAGCAGGGAGGGAGTGCAAGTGTCACAAAATCAATGCAGCACAACAAATGACATTGTAAATATGGCAGGAAAACCCTTTTTAAGTTAAAGCACAAAGAGCTTTTTTCCGGAGCATATATTATTAGTTTTTTATTATTGCTCTTCAATTATCCATTAACTTTCACATTTGAAAGCAACAATAAATGTAGAATGTGAACTGGTTTAATGCTTAATATATTTAAATGAACCTTTCTGTTTTAATCATGATTAATTTTATTTATTTAGTGTAGAAATAAGGATAGCTTGTTATATGAGTGCAGGCCTTTGGTAAGATTCTTTTTTTAATTTAGTTGAATCCGTTTTGGAGTCAGACTGCAATTCATTTACTAAAGTGAAGGACATTTATTCATCGGGCCATCCATTCTTCAGCCGAATCATTCAGAACCCTTTCTGATAGGACAGTGTTCCCGCGTGCCAAGACATTTATCTCTGCTTCCATTACGCAGAGCCCCTTCTGCCAGGATCTTTTTTTACTTTTATTTGATTCCTCTTTTGGATGATTACAACTTTACTTTTAATTAAATATTGTGTGGTTGGATGGAAAGCTTTGGAATGTTGTTGTACTTTTATTTTGAATAACACTTCTATTTTAAACGAAATTCAATTGATAAAAAAAGAGATTCAATAGGCAACATAATAATATTGTATTATTAATACTATTTTACAAAATGAGCCTTGAATCTTTTGTGCATTTTTACGTACATTCGTTATTGTTACAAGTTAAGTGTGCAAAAAGGTAATAATCCAATGCGTATTACACCAAATAAGTTATAAATAAGAAAAATATGTCTTTATTCATTTATTTTTAATATGTATTTAGCCGTTTTCCATTTAAAGCTGCATATAGTAACATTGTTTAAAAGGTGACTTTAATTCACTTCAAAAAATAATTTATTTGTTTTTGATCGTCACTCTGCCTTGTGGGAAGTGTCAGAAAAGTATAACTTCATCTCACAGATCTCCCCCCCAGCAGTGAGGGGGGTCAGGGGTCAGAACAGTACAGATGGATGGAAATATTCCTGCATGGCCTTGACAGGGGGTTTATGAAAGCAATAAGAGTCTATCGACGGAGTGAGCGCGCGCCTCCAGAGAGCCGCTGTCTTCTATATCTACCCTGTAGATCCGGATTTGTGTAAAAATCATTGAAACAATCACAAATTCGCTTCTAGGGGAGTATATAGTGGATTTAAACACGACGGCAGCGATGGATCCAACACGAGGAAGAGAGCTGCTATCATACGGATCGCTGCTTCATATTAGAATATCAGTCCCAATCACTTTTCAGCAAATATATGTGACGAGTTTATTGGTGATTATTTGATTTTGAAGCGACTGTTATTGTGTGTCTGTTCTCCCCCAGAGTGATTAAAACTCCCAAGTTTTGTCCATGTTAATTGTTTCGGTCATCAAACAGTCGTGCAGTTTTAAAGGCCACTTCCGGTTGAATTGGACTCTTTTTTATTTATTATGCGCCCTGTTGAAAAATGATGCGCTCGACTAGCCTACTGTATCTAAGAAGGCGAAGTGTATGTGTGTGTGTGTGTGTGTGTGTGTGTGTGTGTGTGTGTGTGTGTGTGTGTGTGTGTGTGTGTGAGTGTGTGTGTGTGTGTGTGTGTGTGTGTGTGTGTGTGTATGTGTGTTGTGTGTGTGTGTGTGTGTGTGTGTGTGTGTGTGTGTGTGTGTGTGTGTGTGTGTGTGTGTGGTGTGTGTGTGTGTGTGTGTGTGTGAATATAACATAATGTATATTACACTATTCTATTTTTCTCTTTAAAAAAATGGATGTAGGCCCTTAAAAGGATCAAAAGGCTGTATGTATGTATGTATGTATGTATGTATGTATGTATGTATGTATGTATGTATGTATGTATGTATGTATGTATGTATGTATGTATGTATGTATATATATATATATATATATATATATATATATATATACTGGATATACATACATACATACATACATACATACATACATACATACATACATACATACATACATACATACATACATACAGCCTTTTATATATTTATGTACAACTGAAGTGTAGTTTTGCAATGTAAATCTAAAGTCCCCGCGGCTCTTCTCACTATGCCACATATGACATATTTGAAATAAAAGGAAAATACATGCAGTAAAATAGTTCAATGGACCAAATGGTCGTAGTTGTATGAAAAAGAACAATGTGCATATATATAAGATATAACAGAATGTATACCATTGCATACTGTACAGAATAAATACTGTCCCTGTGTGTTACCCGGTTATGCGTCATGGTCTGGGAGATTCATTTCCTTTTGGAGGAAAAACAACGACTTGTATCTCTAAAGGGCAAATGCCGGCACCCAGTGTGAATGTGTAATATGGACTTGCCATGCCTGTGATGTTAATACCGTTCCTGTTTATTCATGCACGGCAGCGGGCGACTGGATTACTATGCAAGGGGAGTTTTAAAAGTGAAATGTGCGCGTGTAAGAGGACTGCTTTCGAGCCGGTGCTGGATTCCTAATGCAGAGGTCTGCTGGTGATTTAGAAGGCCGTGTAACCTGAATTAGTTGATGAATTTTCTATCGATCCTAAACAAACCAGATTTATCTCTGACATCGTGCTGCTGCTGCTGGGTGGCGGCGCGGGGCCACTCTCACACTCCCCATTATTAGGGATTTAAAAGAAGAAGAAAAAAGAGAAAGCTTTGGCGAGCACACACACCAAATATATACACAGAGGGTGGTGCAGGCGCCACTTTAATTCCCCCCGAGCACTTTCCTCGCTGCTTCTTTTTTTTCTTTTTGAAATTGCAGCCAGACGCATAACAGGGGAAGGTTTGCTTAAGGGAGGACTTGTCTGTTGCTCGTGGGTGTCCTTGCGTGCGCGGATTTTGTCAGACGCGCTTTGCTTTTGTTGTGATTCTGGTTAGGACGGCGTGCGTTCCGATTTGTGGCGGAGGGATACACAGAGAGAGAGAGAGGGCCCGGAGAGGGAGAGTTTTGTAAAGACTGCGAATGCCCATAAACTGAGGCCATATGATGATGCGCGTGCGGGGGCCCGTGTATATGCTTAATCCCATTTCCTTATCCGGGGTCCGTCCCGGGGGCGCGCCATTGGCCGAGCGCCGTCACGTGGCTTCTTAACTTTGTTCACTTGACAGAAAAGTAGGAGGGTTCAACGGAACAGGAATAACCGAAGAGTAAAGGGATGAGATATAAATTGTAGTTATATATTTTCCGAGTAGGTGCAATTCCACAAAAAGACTGACATTAATGGCCATGAGCTCCTATTTGATCAACTCCAACTATGTGGACCCGAAGTTCCCACCCTGCGAGGAGTACTCTCAGAGCGACTATCTGCCCAACCACTCTCCGGACTATTACAGCTCCCAGAGGCAGGAGCCCGCTGCCTTCCAGCCGGACTCCCTGTACCACTCACAGCCCTCCCAGAACCACCACCAGCCGCGAGTGGAGCCGCCGTACACGCAATGCCATCGCCCGGGACAGCCCGCCTCGGTGGTGATGTCTCCCCGGGGTCACGTCCTCCCCTCAACCGGACTACACGCCACTCCTGTCCCGGAGCTCAGCCACCGCTGCGACTCGGTGACACCCAGCCCACCTCCGCCCGCGTCTTCTTGCGGCCAAACGCCCAACAGCCACAGCACTTCGTCCCCTACTAGCACTCGGAAGGACCCCGTCGTGTACCCGTGGATGAAAAAAGTCCATGTAAACATCGGTAAGTGCAAACTTCTCTCCCTCTCTCCCCCCTCTCTCTCTCCCCTCGCTGCTGCTTTGTGCAGTCAGCTAGGTGTCCACCGTCACAATCTACGGCTTCCCCTCTCACCGTTTCTCTGCTAGAAGTACAAGAGTAGCCCTTGGGTCGAGATTTACGGTCGTCTGTTTGCAGGACCAATATAATTACACCCTCCATAAATTTTTATTACACCTCTCCGCTGAGGTGCCTTTTGAAGTCCGATCTCAGGCTCTAATTCCTCGCCTTATGACAACTCAGAGCGAGCCCATAAGTTAGCTTTTATGCTTTGGTAATTTGATTTTAAGTGGCCTGGTTGTATAAACGGTGTACTTTACTCTGTCGAGCCCTTCTTCCCCACTCGTTGTTCCAGGGGAGGGAAAGTTTTATGGCAGCTGAAATATCCATGTTTATGGAGCCGGCCGTAAAACACTAATGTAAAAGCGAAGAGCTGCAGCCTGTTCTGGCTCTCGGTGAGCTTCTAATAGACTCGCTGCCTATTGCTTGTTGGGAGAACCCGAGCGCGCGTTCGCGGGGCGACAAAACGTTTATAAGGCACCGTGATGGGTTCACTGCACCCGGCTGTTTACTCGGTAAGAAAAAAAACAATTTCTTGCATTTTAACCTTGGCGGTTAGCTGCCATGTGTTAGACATCGGATTCCATTGCAAAGTGTTTGCTTTGGGTAGGCTATTTGTTGAATCAGTTGGTGATTTAGCCCCCCCCCTCCCCTCCCGACAACACCTTCATTTTCAACCACTGAAAGAAAAGGCTCCGGACTGCGTGTGTTTCTGGCTGATTTGACGTATTTAGATTTTTACGGGATTTTTTGGCACGAATGTGTCAAAACTGCAAGACAATATATGAGCTTTCGGAAATGCGTCCCTGCATGGCTCCCCATTTTCGAATCACAACATTTGGACAGCGTCAGGATTCACACCGCCGCAGGGCCTTCACTGACACCTGACAACATGTTCACTGCGAAGGCAGAGTCAACAATCTGTAGTTTAAAATCGTCTGGAACAGTTGCATGCGGACATGTATTTGTGGTAGGGTTAAAGAGGACTGCTATCATTACAGATGATGTCAAGGTTGCAGCCTTTTTACTCTGCAGTGTGTTCATAATGCTCATGCTCATAATGCATTTGTATTTCTTCATGTGGCTTTATCTGCTGTTTTTTTAATTACCATCTGGCCACTGTGTCGCTTCCTGTTTACTGACCCTGATATAATATAAAATATAAGCCAGATCAAAAACAATAGTATTCAGTGCAAGCCAATATTGTGCTGACAACCCCTGTCTTTGTTTTTTAATTCCCATTATAATGTTGCACTGTGGAAAACATGGCTTTAGCTCAGCTTAATAATTGCTTTACTACATATTGTTGTTGTTGTTGTTATTATTATATATATTTTAATTATTATTATTATGCTATATTTTGGACGTGATTGCATGGTGTTTTTATTCTCAAGACAATAATATTGTGACGCTCTTTTATTCCCATAGTGAACGCGAACTACTCAGGGGGGGAGCTGAAACGCTCGCGGACGGCCTACACGCGCCAGCAGGTCTTGGAGCTCGAGAAGGAGTTCCACTACAACCGGTACCTGACGCGCAGGCGCAGGGTGGAGATCGCGCACACGCTGTGCCTCTCGGAGCGGCAGATCAAGATCTGGTTCCAGAACCGGAGGATGAAATGGAAGAAGGACCACAAGCTGCCCAACACCAAGGTCCGCTCCGGAGCCAGCAGCAATACAAACTCCCAGGCTCTGACCGGATCCTAGAGCCGCCCCGGGCCCCTGCAGCCCGGTTCTGTGGCCCGGTGTCAGATTTTTTGTTCCCAAACTGAACGCCGCAGCGGCACCGGAGCCTGCACTTTTGACCGGAATAACGCCCCTGCTCTGGAAGGGGAGAGGGATGTCATTGCCGCATGATGTTACACACTATAATATGACGTTATGATGTGGGAGGGGTGGGGGGAGTGTTCCCATTCACAAAACATGAAATGAACAAAAGTACGCGAAGGAACAAACTGAGAAAATGACGCGGCCGCTTCTTTGCTTTTATTCTGTCTGCCCCCACCCCCTGCTTTTTATGTCTATCTTCTTATTTGTGTTAAACTCCTCTCTCTCTTCCTCTCACGATAGGCTCAGGATAACGTGCCCTCGTGCGTGTGGTTTATTTTTATTTTCTCAACCCGAGATTTATTTTTTCTTCTTTTTTGGTGAAGATGGATCCTCGTTTTCATCTTTAATCATGCCAAACTTGGGCCCCATTTGTCATGTTTACTCTGCGGGTACAAAGCAAAGGGGTGAACCGCGGCTCTGCCCATTACCCCCCTTGCCCCCCCCCCCCCCCCCCCCCCCCCACACAACCACTACCCCCTCACCAACGCACGCGTGATAAATGGAACTCACGTTTCGTCAAGAGAAGTATTCTCACACACACACACACACACACACACACACACGCACGCACGCACACACACGCGCTTATAGTACCTACTCTAACATCAAATATTACCTCCGGTATGATCCAATCTGACAGCAGGCAGTTTTCAGTCTTGCTGCTATAATTATTTTTGTTTTGTTGAATGAGAACAATAGCTTTTCAAATTTCTCTTCTAGTTATTTTTGAATTCAGTGTTGATTGTAAATGATGCTGAGGACGATAAGGAGAGTTCATGTGGTCCGTTTATTGTTCATGTTGTGATGTAATATACAGGGAATTCAAGTGAAATGAAAACATCTTCACTACCAATCAAACAGGGTTATAAAGCCGCATAAACACTAATATTCAAACCAAAATCCTGGTACTAATAAAACACATTATACACGCAGCACTATAGAATGTACCTATTACCTCAGTTGTACTTATATATTTTTTAATGTTTTTTTTGGTCCTCTATTTTCTATTTCTCGTTCAATGAAGTGACAGCTTTTCGAGCTTTTTATATATTTTTTAAATGTGTGATTATAATATTATTACCTGCAATACAAACTATTCATTTCTTGCATGTGGAAATGTTTAAAATATAATTTAATTGTAGCCAGGGGAATGAGAAAAATAAGGAGCCTTTTGTTGCATGTCTGAATGGATTTCATTTGTATGTTTCTTGCTCTTTGTCCTCTCTCCGCACATGTAATGCGCGCACACTTCGTCTTCCGTGCCCTCTCCCCTTCCTCTGTCTGTCACCTTGTTTTAGATATTTTATTCTGCAAGTGTTTCTCAATTGATGTTATTTTATTTACATTCCAAAGATCAGTTTCTATATGATGATGATGATGCTAACAATGATGCTATTGTTGAACATGTGTTACCTCCTCCTCAGTGTCTCTGCTTTTGCCTCCTCAGTGTCTACCTTCCTATTATTTGTAAATAGTTCATAGAAATTTAAATAAATGTCTAAAAATATAATTTCTCTATCCTCCTCTCTTTGTCTCAAAAGTACGAATTGTTTTGCTAACATAAATACACTGGAACATTGACTTTGATTAAATGTCAACAGATTTCACATAGGTTGAACCTAACATTTTTTTATTTAAACGTATTATTATTGCTTTCAACTAACCTCACACAGTTATGTGTTAACATGTCATTAAAGTCACCTTGTTCAGTGTAAAGGTAGTCATGAGGTTTCGGGTTTTAAAGATCGTCCCTTTTTATTTGTTGTATTGGGACATTTTCCTTTTCTTTCAAGGTCCAGACAACATGTATGTCCTCTTCTCTCTCTTGCACATTTAACGTGAAGGATGTATTTAAAGCATATGCACACACAATAAATAATTTCATTTAATTTCACTGTAGCTTTTGCCCATAACGCGCAGAGACCTGTCTGGAGAAATCAGCAGCGCGCGATGATTAATCTGTCCCGTCCATGAGTGATTTTGGTACATTACGTCCTTTAATCTCGTTTTAAATCACAAACCGTCCCTCCGTTTCACTCCCGTTCTCCCGTTAATTTAACGGCTTGCACCGGCCCGACACAGAGGATAACCCGCCCTCCTCCTCTCCCTTCCTTCCTCTGACTCTAAAGAAGAAGAAAAAAACTCCTTTAATGCTTTAATGAGTGTAATTTAGTTTTTTTCTCGCTGTTTTCTGGAGCGGTGCTGGTGCGCACACGTGTGTATTATTTTTTATATATTACAAAAGGGACCGGGCCTGCGCCATAGCTCAAACCCTGACAAGCAAATAGATAATCAACATGACGAATGGCTTCTTTTGTAAGGCGCGGCTCCCGTATTAATTTTCATTTTCTTTTCTTAGAGCAGGTATCGAAACATATGGAGCAGGAGAGGGGGGAGAACGAGAAAATAGCATTCCTCTCGATGAACTTTAAACAAAGAAGTGTGCCCCCTAAATTGGTCCGCTCGTATTCCTCGGCCCAGAGAAGATTCCCTATTACTGTTGGCTGATTTCTCCCTGGGCCTCTTGCCACAGAGACTCGCTCTGCCCATGTATCTGTTGTCTTCCTGTTTATGAGCGGCTGCTCCAGCTCCTCGATCAAACACATAGATGTGCTCGCACAAAGGCGCACACACTGCGCCAAAATGGTCAATCCATGGCTATATGGGGTTTTTTAACCGTAATTTTCATTGTTTCTCATAGCAGTATTCCCTTTTTTCTTATTCAAAATAATATGTTTACTATTTGCTTCCAAAGGCGCATTGTAATTCCTGTTAAAAGATCCACATGTCCACTTTTCTTCTTCTCATCCTCTTTTTTTATT